CACCCCGAGCGCGTCCCTTAGACCCTCCCTCCCTGGGTGCCTGGCTGCTGTCTTTCTGGTTGCCAAGGCGATGGAGCTGCTCAGCCCTGTTCCTCACCTGCCCAGTGGGGGTCTCTGGCCTGGCGGGCCCCACCAACGCCCAGCCCTGGGGCAGGTCAGGGAAGAGGAGGAGCAGGCTGTGATGGGCAGGGTGGAGGCCAAACCAAGAGGTGCCCATTAGCGAACACTGGGCCTGATCAGAGGCCCTGTGGGTGCAGCAGCTGCGAGCAGGCCTCGGCGATGCCCTCGCGGGCGGGGAGGGGAAGCTAGCTGGGGGCTGCTGCTGCAGCGTGGCGGAGCTGGTGACCAGCCTGCCCTATGTCTTGCAGAACACCTCGGGGAACTCCAGTCGGTTCAGTGCCAGCGAGGCCTTCTGGAAGTGAGTGGGCGCCTTACGGTCTGTATGTCTGAAACTGACTCACTGCCCTTCCCAGCCTGCCTGGAGCTCGCCCGTGCACTCCTGCGGGAGCTCAAACTGAATCGGTGGGGAGTGGCGGAGCTGGTGACCAGCCTGCCCTATGTCTTGCAGAACACCTCGGGGAACTCCAGTCGGTTCAGTGCCAGCGAGGCCTTCTGGAAGTGAGTGGGCGCCTTACGGTCTGTATGTCTGAAACTGACTCACTGCCCTTCCCAGCCTGCCTGGAGCTCGCCCGTGCACTCCTGCGGGAGCTCAAACTGAATCGGTGGGGAGCCTTCCCCATCTCCCTTCCCCCCGCTCTCGGCACCGGGGGGCGCCACAGCCAGCGAGGTGCTCAGATAAGGGCCAGGAAGAAATTCATGGCAGGAAACAGTTGCACCAAGGGAATCCCTGTGTGGAGCTGTGGAACTCACTGCCACAGGACACATGAAGCATGAGAGAATAGCCCCTGGCCAGGAGAGATTTGCAGGGGCACAGGGTTGCAGCCATACACGCCTCTCCTGGCTGAGTTTAGAGGAAGCTTCCCCTGCAATACTGCCATGTCGCTGTGCTGTCAGCATCGTCCTCAGCAGCTCACACAGGGGCCAGATCCCTGCCCCAAGCTGCTCAAGACTAGGTGCTGGCCACACACCCAGTGTAGATCTGTGTGGTGGGCAGGAAGGGGCTGCGGTAGGTGGGAAGCTGTTGCCGCCGCAGGAGGCAGAGGGATCTGGTAGAGGGCCAGGCAGCAGGTTTTAACACCCGCTTCATAGCCCCCGCACTGCGGTGACCCCGCAGGAGGGAGGCAGCTCTGTGTTCCCTGCCTCCCTAACGTGGTGTTGTGCCCTGCAGCGAGCAGGTGCTGGGGGTCACACACAGCTCTGGCCTCGACGACCCGGGCCCGGTGAGGTGGCCGCTCGCAATATGTTTGATGGTTGCCTGGATCGTCATCTTCCTGTGCATGTTAAAAGGCATCCGCAGCTCGGGCAAGGTGAGCGGGCCTGCCGCAGAGCAGCGGAAGGGAGGGGAGCCTCGTGCGCTGGCCAGGCGAGGCGAGGCGGAGGGGGTCTTTGGTCACTGTCTAGGGGGCCTTCAAAGCGGTAAATGCCCCTAGAAGCTTGGGAAAAGGGCACAGCCCCTGCTCAGTTTTATGGGGGAAACTGAGGCATGGATTGAGACATCGGGGTCACCCAGCGCAGGGCCACCCTTGCTCTGACCATTACACAGCACTGCCTTTCCACAGTCCAGTCGGTGTTCAGCTGGGGCTCTCTTGTGAGTTCCTGCTAGGCTCCCTGACCTGGAGGGGTCCCGGGTGTCGGCTGGGGCAGATGGGGTAAGAGGTGGATCTGCTGAGTGAAGGCTGGAGAGAGGCCGGGGCTGCTCTGCCAGTCTCACCCCTTCGCCCGTCAGCGTGTCCCGCGGTCCCCCCGCCCCAGGATCCTACTCTGCAAGGCCGGCACAGGGCAGGGTTTCTGGGCTTCCCAGCACTGCACGTAACTTGGGGGGGCTACACATTGATTGGGGAGCAAAAGAGCTAAAAAAGGCTACAGGCAAAGTGCTCTTCTCCTCCCACCCTGGGTGTTGTGGCCGTGCAAGGAGGATGTGTAAAGAGTCGGTGTTGTGGCCGTGCAGGGCAGGTGTGTAAGGGTGTGTGCTGTGGCTGTGCAGGGGGAGTGTGTTGGGGTGTGTGCGGTGCACTTGGGGGGGCTACACATTGATTGGGGAGCAAAAGAGCTAAAAAAGGCTACAGGCAAAGTGCTCTTCTCCTCCCACCCTGGGTGTTGTGGCCGTGCAAGGAGGATGTGTAAAGAGTCGGTGTTGTGGCCGTGCAGGGCAGGTGTGTAAGGGTGTGTGCTGTGGCTGTGCAGGGGGAGTGTGTTGGGGTGTGTGCGGTGCCTGTGCAGGGCGGGCGTGTAAGGGTGCATGCTGTGGCCATGCGGGGCGCGTGTGTAAGGGTCTGTGCGATGCCCACGCAGGGCGCGTGTAAGGGTGCGTGTTGTGGCCATGCGGGGCGGGCGTGTAAGGGTGCGTGAGGTGGCCGTGTGGGGCGCGTGTTTAAGGGTGCGTGTGGTGGCCATGTGGGGTGCGTGTGTAAGGGTGCGTGCGGTGACCGTGCAGGGCGGGCATGGGGGGGCGTGTAAGGGTGCGTGAGGTGGCCGTGTGGGGCGCGTGTTTAAGGGTGCGTGTGGTGGCCATGTGGGGTGCGTGTGTAAGGGTGCGTGCGGTGACCGTGCAGGGCGGGCATGTAGGGGTGCGTGCGGTGTCCATGCGGGGCGGGCGTGTAAGGGTACGTGAGGGGGCCGTGCGGGG